AATTCTATAGTCCTGTAGTTCCTTTCTTGCATATTGTCCGTATCTGAATGTGAATTATATGGTATAGGGTGACTTAAACCCTCAACAGCTTCTTCTCTCTGCTTTACATTATCCTGCCCTGAAACCCCATTTATATATGGGGCTGGAAGAGTTACAGACAACACGCCCACACTGCTGTTTTCCAGCACGTCAGTCATGAACCTTAATGAACAGAACCCTTCCAATGGTTTTATAAACAAAGGCATTCAGGCTTAAAACCTATCAATCTCATATTCCTTTAGAGTAAAAAAAAATTAACGGATTTTGCCTATGACTGTTGTAGAAATGACAAATACAACAAAGTAGCTGGTAGAGAAGGAAGAGAAACAAGGTATACTTCATAATAGAATACTTCTAAAAATGCAGCAAAAGCTTCTTAAATCTGGAGCTCTGCTTTCATTGTATTTTACTGTCTAATGAATCAGAAACCAAATGTGCAATTTCATTGAAAACATGAAGTAAATCCAGTACTGATGTTTACATTCAGTAGTGTCACCAGTGTCTACAAGGAGCATGTTATCCTATTAAATTTATTCCTCTGAACAAGCCAAACAGCTCATGCTGAGTAAGACTGGGGCTTCCGTTCAAACAGCAGTGGTAAGACTGTGGGACTGGAATCTCCTGTATGAAGGGAAAATTTTAACACTAATACACATAAAGTCTGTGAAAACATAATACACTGGTCTCTTTGTGCTCCAGAAACATGCAATTTTTTTTTCTTTTTAATTTTTTTTTTTTTTACTTTGAGAATTTTGGTGTGTTGCATTTGCAACTGCACTAAACAATTTATATTAACTCTATCTAAAAAGGCACTAAAACGTGAATCAGAGAAAGTTGTTCACTGTCTGGAAAAAGTTTTCACTTATGATTCTACCTGGATGGGGTTTATTTTTGGCTTTTTACTTGATGAGAGTCCTCAAAGCTGAAGGTATCTGTCAAAAGGGAATGTAGGGGAGACTGAGATGATTGAATCTGGAGCTTCACTACACGAATTCTCCCCACTATCTTTTATGGGTCAGATTTTCATTCTGTGGGAGTGTATTCACCCAGAGCTTGTTTGCAGTGACCAAATTCTTTCTGTGACATACCCTGACCATGGGCCTAACACTGAGGAGTGGCTCTCTGGTTAGTCTTAATGGCATGCCAGTTCTGAAAAGGAGAAATGACAAGATTCTGCTTCTTWGAGAGTCCCCATGTGGAGAAAGCACTGGCAGAAAAACCTGAGGCAGTCTAGCATTAGTTTAAATCTTATTGAAAATGTAGTACTTTATATTGAAACAAGCTGAGCATCATGGATTAAAGGAGGAATTTATCAGCAAAAGAAGCTTCATAGTCCCAAGCCTCTGTGATGACCAAGTGGAAACACCCAGTAGAAGCCATCATTTGTAACTTTTGCTTCATCTGACTCCTGTGATTATTTTTTTAGGGTTTGTGTGTGAAAGTGTGTGGCAGTTAAACTGTTTGAAACATTACAGTAAGTGAGGTCATTGGGGCAGGAATAGAGGTGTGGGGATGCTTCAGACAGTCTTTTTCCATTCCTGTCAACAATTTTAGTTTGGTTCCTTGATTGTGGGCATTGATGCAATCTTTATTTAGASCATCATATCCTATTTTTCATTCTGAAGCAAAAGTGAGAATCAGCCCTCACAAGAGTGCTGTGATCCCACAGTGGCTGAATACTGCTGCATCTGATGCAATAATGAAAACTGCACGCATTTATCCTCTATTATTGACCAAATCAGTATTTTGTTCATATACTTTTATG